TAAATACTTCAAAAACTTCCTCTGAATTTTTTCCAATGAGTCACATGAGGTAACATAGCATGGATTCCAGATTATTCTTCCGTATTCCAGCTTAGAAAGAACAAACGAATTGTACAGCACTGTAGGTGCTGTGGTACCGATAAACTCTCTTGAATTGCGTATAACGAATCCCAGTGCTTTATTGGCAGAATTCATTAAATTAGTTAGGTGTGCACTGAAGCTCAATGTCCTGTCAAATATTACTCCTAGGTCCCTGAACTCCTCTAAAGTCTGAAGAGGAATGTTGTTAATTTTATAACTATTGGTAATTGAATTTACTCTCCTAGTGAAAGTTAAAGATTTACATTTGCTCACGTTGATAGGAAGTTTATTAGCAGTACACCATCAGGTGGGTCTGTCAAGATTCCTTTGTAAATAAAAGCAACTAGATGGATCATCAATTTGCCAGTACAGTTTTACGTCGTCCGCGTAGAGCAGAATATTGCAGTCAATCGTATTAACTAAGTCATTAATAAAAATGACGAATAGTAGTGGACCTAAGGAAGATCCTTGTGGGACGCCAGTAGATGGAAAAAAGTGAATTGATTTACCACCGTTAAAATCCACATATAGTTTGCGATCAGACAAATAGGACTGAAATAATAATTCCAAATTTTTGGATAAGCCAATGCTATTTAGTTTTCACAGTAGTAAACCATGATCGACTCTATCAAACGCTTTACTGAAATCAGTATATAGCACATCAACCTGACCATTAGAATCTAAAACACCTGCTAGGAATTGAGTTAAACAGACTAAGTTTGTTGTTGTCGACCTTCCTTTTACAAATCCATGTTGTGCTGTAGAAATTGAAGAACTTACGTTGTATTGTATGAAATTATGTAATAACATTTCAAACGTTTTCGAAAAATTACTCACAATAGTGATAGGCCTATGGTTTTCAATTAATTTACGGCTTCCATTTTTATGGATAGGTCGAACCTTGGCTTCACGCCAAATCTCAGGAAATGTATGTGATCTGATACTTAGGTTATAGATTTTAGTTAAAGGTGCAGCAAGAATAGGTGCACAATCACGGATTAAGAATGCAGGTATACCATCAGGTCCAGTAGTGAACTTGTTTTTCATTTTCTTTAATGCCACAAGAACCTCCTTTTCTGTGAAGCTATTCAGCACAATATTGTTTGTAGCAATAATATCATCTGGCCTCGCTGCTACATTGGGGGTAGAATACACAGACTGGAAAAAATTAGCGAAGGCATTTGCTATATCAACAGGGTTATTGAAAACACAATCATTGTGAGTGAATTCAGAAGGTGAAAGACTACTGTGCCTTTTACTTTTGATGAAGGACCAAAACTGATTTGGATCTTTTTTTATGCAATTTTCAGTCTACCCTATGTACTTTTTATACGCATGACTAACGTCTCTTTTAATTTTGGATCTTAATTCTTTAAATGTATCATAGACAGTCACTTCTTGACGTTTTTTGTATAATTTATGTAGTGAATTCTTTTGTTTAATATCCTTGATGATTGCACGAGTGTACCAGGGTGGAAATTTGCCAGGCGTACGCTTAGTTTTCGGAATACACATGTTGAAAATATTTATTAGGTTATTGTAGAATAGAGTGCAAGCAATATTGACATCCGCAATATCCTCAAGAAATGACCAGTCCATAAGTGTCAATTGTTCATACAGTGTAACAAAATCAGCTTTGCGAAAATTGAAGGTAACATCATTTGATTGTGACCAGGTTTTGCTACGAGAGTTTCTGTGTAATGTAATACAAAGTGGAGGATGATGTGACTCTTCGGGCAATAGGTCATCGTATGCTCTAGTCACCAAGCATGATTTGTTGGAGAACACTAGATCAAGCAATCTATTGTTAATATTAAGAATTTGATTGTATTGTAAGAAGTCAAAATATGCTGTAAAGGAGTCAACTACATTCAATTTGCGTGATGGTGAGATATTCTGTGTACAAAACTCTGGAATGTTGAAATCCCCAAGAAAATAAACATCATTACCAGAGAGGTATGTCAAAGATTCTAGATGCTCAAATAAGCGCTCATATCATGCAACGCTAGTATTGGGTGGTATGTAGACCACAAATATGTATGTGGTTTTATATTGAATGGTAAACTGAACGCCTACCAGGTCTATACATGGTCTATGCTAAATTTCAATACACCCAGAGTACGAACAAGGGCCAACCTTGCCTTTTACCTACCTACCCCACGAACAAATCTACTGCTGCACTCACCGCTATATTCGATATGCTCATGCTATAATGACTATATGAATTATTTTGATATCTTCAACACATCCATTTTTATTATTAAGAGAGTATGTAAAGCGGTAGTTTTTTTTTTTTTTAGAGCTACCACAGTTTGATTGAGCTATGATCAGTTGTAGCTTTTCATGGGTTCTTATTGGTAATTACAAAGCAATCAATGCTATTAGTTTATTTTGTGATTTTTATATATATATGTACGGTATTTCCCACCAGTAATTGGTTTATAAACTGTTGGTGGTGTAATTAATTAAATAAATAAATATCACTCTTAACAGCAGTTGTATCAATTTCAGATGAATTCAACCAGTCTTTCGTGGCAATTAGAGCCCCACCTCCTCTTGTACATTAAGGAACATATCATTAAGGAACACCCTGTATAGGGTTTTTTTGTGACATTATGTAGGTTTTTCTACAAGATATCAACTTAGAACTAGCTGTTATTTACATCATGTGCACTCGTTCTGTAGCTGTACGTGTTGCGTAAAACCTCATAACGCTTCAGCTATCAATGTTTGGCTCTGACATCTGCTTCGGAGATGGAATTATTAACGGTTTAAGCTGAAAGTTGTATAGTATAGCTGGAGGATGCATAGGTGCGTAGTAAGGATTTGTATGCCAAGAATCTGTGCTGATAATAATTCTGATAATCTGTGAATCCACTGGTTTCTTGTCGCAAATACACTTACTTGAGATGTATGCTAAGTTAGAAATTAATCACTTTGCTGGATTTCAAAAATAAAAGAGATAAGAAGAGAACCGCACTGCGAAATCGTTTTGTGTGTCTTTTTTTGTGATGTGGCTTCATTACACACAGCGTGGGCGCGGTGGTGTTTTCCCGTAACGCTTCTCAAAGTTTTTGAGACCGGGGAAATTCGTAATTTAAAACCTTGAACGTAACCTCTCTTCAGAAAGGACAACACAAATAATCCGTCTGATAGAGCTAATAGATATACAGGTACTTCATGGGCAGCATATTCAGTAACAATTTTCTCACATGGCATATATCACTGATTTTATACATATGCAGACCAATACACACAATTATCCAGATGCTACCTTGCTACTCCACCAATGTTCTTTCTGTCACATCTTCTCAGAGTTATACTCTACAGACTATCTCATGCTGAGGAACTGACATCGAGCATGGCCACTGAGCGTGTCGTTAAGTTATTCCTCCATAGATGAAGGTTTTGGTGAATGCGGCTCGCAGCGCTCATAACGAGCAAGCGCGGAATATCTCCTACATATCTAGTCAGCTGGTTTACTTTTTGTCCAGAAGATCGACCAGTTTTCTTCATTTTTGGCTTTTTCTCCGCCATCACTGGACCGATTTGCAAAGCTTACAAAGGCCTTTCGGCATAGTAGCAATCTTGTCTACAAATTTCATCAAAAACCGTGAGGTACTTCCCAAATTATAGACGGGCCAAGGATTAGCGGACAGATCAGGAGCTATTATTTTTAATTTACTTGATCGAAATACTTTTTAGAATTAATTATGCAATATCCATATTTAACTTTCACTTACCCATATTGATGATAAAGCACTGAATCGACAGATGTCACTTACCTAGAACAATATGAAAAATAGTCAATATCTTCAGTAGTAGAATGAAGCAAGGCAGTGTACAATTTAATGATCATAACTTATACTAAGGGCGTTCCCAACTGTTGACAGAGAGCAAAACTACAGGGGGGCGAATATAACTCCATCTAGCTCCTATGTCAGAAAAATATTAAATACAAAAGTTACTTGTTTTAAGAGTATTTTATTATATTGTTGGGTAGACAGAATATCTAGTGTGGCCACAGTGAGTATCAACTTTTACAAGTTTTTTAAAAGCAACTCATATACAGGGTGTCCTAGAAATAACACGCCAGAGTGGCACGGGAAGTAGATTCAGATAAAATCAACATGACCTTAGTAACAGTTTCCAGTTTTCCACTTTCAAGTTTTTTCAAAAAATCCCGACTTATTGCTCCGCTTTTGCCTGTTATGGGCTGTAAAGAACTTCTAACTTATGATTTTCCTGAGCAACCATTAAAGTAGAGTCTTGTTTTATTAACGCAAGTTGTTCAAGGGGGTATTTAAAACATGGACGCTTAAAATGGGTACACTAATTCTTGTGGAAAAACTTTTTATTCGACAACAGAGAATGAGAAAACGGATTTTTGGGATTCAATAGAAAGTGTTGGCAGGAAAGAAATAAGATCTTTAGGTATTTATTAGACCTACAGAATAAGACCCACTAATAGTAAAAACGTTATAACCAAAAACCAAATGCAAAATGCAGGTTTTGGCACTTGTTGATAATGCGACGATAATTGCAGGCTACTTGAAATTATTCAAATCCGAAGGCTTCTTCTAAATGACCACAACAAAATTGGAGTCGATCGGTCAACTAGTTTTTGAGAATTTCTAATTATCTATCCAAAAACACCTGTCCTCCGGCCATCACTACTAGTTTATTAAGCAATATACAGTGTTCGTTCAAACGGCATTTTATAGCAAAATACACTAGTACATTTTTTCACGGTCACAGATGAGCCTTATGCGGGCCATTCACTAGACGGACCTGAACTCGGACGGCAACCGGGACCCGACTGACGACTCATCCACGTTTGTCAATACATTAGACGGAAATTACACGAACCCAGCAAAAGAGCTCATTTTTACACTGAATGTGGCGAACCCAATAGCATTATGTCTCCGATATTATCAAAAAAGGCGAAAGTTGCTTTGGCTGTAGGTACAATCATATTATTAGAATCAGAAAAAAAGAAAAAACGTGTTTGGGTGAAAGAATGGCTGCAAAAGAGAGAACAATTTACTCATTTGCGATTATTGAAATGTATCCAATCATGTGAACCACTTGATGTTATAAATTACCTCAGAATGGACTATGACGCATTCCAAGAATTATTAATGCTAGTAAAACCTCTGATAGAAAAGAAAAACACTTTATTCAGAGAAGCAGTAAGCGTTGAAGAACGTCTGTAGGCCACCTTGAGGTTTCTGGCAACTGGAAGGAGTTATGAAGACTTAAAGTTTTCTTGTATAATTTCTCCTCAGTTACTTGGAAGAATAATTCCAGAAACGTGTCGTGCTATATACAACTGCCTCCGGAAGAAATACTTATGTGTAAGTACAATAATTATTTTTTTCATGTATTCTGATGCATATAAGAAACAGAGTGTTGAAAAAACTTTTATTATTTCAAATTATGTCTAACAATTAAAGATATGTGAATCAGTCTGTAATACTCGTAGTACCTTATCACTTCTTAATTATTTTGCCTGGGAAAAACTAAAAATTCTTCCATCACTTCCCTATTTGCAGACGCCTGATTTGGAGTTGTCAAAGTGGTAAAAGTTGGTACATCTGGTTGACGTGTATATGACGTGCTGGGTTCATTAAAGGTTGGGTTAATGGATGTTGTATACCTGGAGCATGAGTTATGAAATATTTGTGCTTGCGGAACGCATGGGGCACTTTGATATGATGGTGGTTGGTAACCCAGGGAAATATGAGAAGAATGTGTGAGATTTCCCAATTTTGCATGGTATAGCACATCCGAAATCAGTTTTTGGGCTATTATCTTCTGTCCAACTGCAATATCCTGTAATTGTTGACCAGTATTTTTGCCAAATGTTATTTCTTGTGGTTCAAGAACATCCTGTTGCGGAGTTTCCAATACTTTTATGGAAGCATCCAAAAATCTATTTTTCTTCTGTGTCCAAGTTGTGCAGTTGAGAGTTCGCTTGTTACGGGAACTTGGTGTTGCACTTTGAGGAGCTTCAGGCGATAAAACTGATGATGAATCTAAATCTTGATGAGAATGTTGTGTGTATGCATCGGTTTCCTGCAATAAAATAGCTCACAGTTAACTTTGCCTCATATGATAGCTGTGTTATTTTTGGTTTCAGTTTCCATCAAAAGAAGAGGAATGGCTCAAAGTAGCAGAAGGATTTAACAATATGTGGCAATTTGAAAATTGCTTAGGAGCCGTAGACGGCAAACACGTAACTATCAAACAGCCCCCAGGAAGTGGTTCATACTATTATAACTATAAAGGATTTTTCAGTGTTGTGTTGTTTGCTATCGTAAATGCTAATTATGAATTTACTTATGTAAGTTGTGGAACTAATGGAAGAATATCAGACGGGGGGGTAATTAAGAAAACAGATTTTTACAATTTACTGATAACAGATTCTTTAAAATTACCCCAACCAGTCAATATGCGAGGAATTCAAAATAAATTACCCTTTGTGTTTATTGGGGACGAAGCCTTTAGTCTAATGACAAATTTCATGACGCCATACAGACAAACCAACAGTATTGGTTATGAAGAAAAATGTTTCAACTATCGACTTTGCCGTGCCAAGCGCGTAGTAGAAAAGGCATTCGGGATCATGGCAAATAGATTCAGGATTTTCCTAACGCCACTAGCTACTAAAGTGGATACAGTTGATGATATCGTTATGGCATGCTGTGTTTTACACAACTTTTTACGCCGCAAAAGCACTTCTTACACACAACCTAGTAACATCGATACTGAAGACATTATCTCAGGGACTGTATTGATAGGTGATATGCACATGAATGGAGAACTAATATCATTAGATGTGTCCAGGCAAGGATCTCCGACTATTGACGCAAATATGATACGAAATGGATATAAAGAATATTATAATAATGCAGGTGAAGTTGACTTTCAACACAAATTTGTATATTAAGTTTAAGATCATCATCATCATCTAGGTTATTTCCTTCTATCGAAGAAACCGCTGCACGAGACTCTTCTTGATCCATCAGGAAAGACAATAGATCAAAATACCACAATGTAGGTTCTGGTACATCTTCCCACCCCACTTCTCTTTGAACTATTAATTCGCCTTATCTGGCGTCGGAAAGATGACCGTAAGGACGATATTTTTTTGATAACAAATTTCTTGTTGGCATCTGGAAACATTTCTTTGCTTTTGTTAATTAAATTCTCATACGCAGCATTTTTTTTCTGTTTGTTACGGTAATCCTTAAGCCCCCCATTCATTAGTGGATTGGTGTGACGGATTGGTTCGTCCTGACTTATCCGCCGACCGATCCGCCAATATATGGTATCGAAAGACGTGTCGCACAGCGGTCCGGGTCGGGTTGTGAGTTCGCTTGTTTGAATACCGAACCTACGACCCGACCGCGACCAATCCGTGCTGTTTTTACAATGTGTGTGTAACTTGTCAAGACTTGTCCGGCGACGAAAGAGTTCTTCCGAGATCAACGAAAGTATCAAGGCATTTTTTTAAGGGAATTCAAATTAAAATGTCTTTTGAAGATAATAAATCTTTTTGGGAGGAATTTATCCAACTTTACCAGGAAAATCCTTGTCTTTGGGACACCAAGTGTAAGCATTACCGCAACAAACAGAAAAAAATGCTGCGTATGAGAATTTAATTAACAAAAGCAAAGAAATGTTTCCAGATGCCAACAAGAAATTTGTTATCAAAAAAATATCGTCCTTACGGTCATCTTTCCGACGCCAGATAAGGCGAATTAATAGTTCAAAGAGAAGTAGGGTGGAAACAGAAGATGTACCAGAACCTACATTGTGGTATTTTGATCTATTGTCTTTCCTGATGGATCAAGAAGAGTCTCGTGCAGCGGTTTCTTCGATAGAAGGAAATAACCTAGATGACCAATCACAGGCCTCAGTAAGTAGATATTTTAACTAACAAATAATCTAAAAAGACATTATTTATAATAATTCAGATATTTTATTTCAACACATATACTATATATATATACAGGGTGACTTCGAAGTTGAGTCATTTATTTTAACAGTGAGTAGATCTGATCAAAAGAAATGTTTTTTTCCTTTACCATTTTTCTGGTAAAATTAAAGTAACAAAGTTATAGCCCTTTGGAAGTTTGAGTACCGCCCTGCCTATTATATGCTCGTGTTTGGCGACAACGGATATAATCCGCCTGACCGGTTCATCGCATCGGAAACAAAAAAGCGAAAGAATTTGAAACGTTTATCACGATGTTTTTCGTCAGTCGATAACGCGTTAGTGAATAGTAGTGTGTTGCGTGGCTCAAACGAATCAAAAATGGCACATGTTTACGAAAATGCTGAACTTGTGGACATGATTCTTATTTACGGGGGGGCAGTCAAATGCTCCCGGATGCATCACGGATTTATGCGAATCGGTTTCCCAATCGAGTGCAACCAACCCCTCGTGCCTTTGTTAATGTAGTATAAAGGGCTCGTGAATCAGGTGACTTAAGACCTCACAGGTGAGGGCATGCTGCTCCAAGACCGCACGATCAAATACAGGTCCGCACTGAAATACTTGTCGGGATGATACTTTATTAAACAAGGTAACATTTTTTTTTTATTTTTTTTTATTTTTACACACATATTTTGGTTTATCTTCCTTCTACAATCATTATCTGAAAATTAATGACTCAACTTCAAAGTCACCCTGTATATCTTAAACTTAATATACAAATTTGTGTTGAAAGTCAACTTCACCTGCATTATTATAATATTCTTTGTATCCATTTCGTATCATCTTTGCGTCAATAGTCGGAGATCCTTGCCTGGACACATCTAATGATATTAGTTCTCCATTCATGTGCATATCACCTATCAATACAGTCCCTGAGATAATGTCTTCAGTATCGATGTTACTAGGTTGTATGCAAGAAGTGCTTTTGCGGCGTAAAAAGTTGTGTAAAACACAGCATGCCATAACGATATCATCAACTGTATCCACTTTAGTAGCTATTGGCGTTAGGAAAATCCTGAATCTATTTGCCATGATCCCGAATGCGTTTTCTACTACGCGCCTGGCACGGCAAAGTCGATAGTTGAAACATTTTTCTTCATAACCAATACTGTTGGTTTGTCTGTATGGCGTCATGAAATTTGTCATTAGACTAAAGGCTTCGTCCCCAATAAACACAAAGGGTAATTTATTTTGAATTCCTCGCATATTGACTAGTTGGGGTAATTTTAAAGAATCTGTTATCAGTAAATTGTAAAAATCTGTTTTCTTAATGACCCCCCCCGTCTGATATTCTTCCATTAGTTCCACAACTTACATAAGTAAATTCATAATTAGCATTTACGATAGCAAACAACACAATCCTTTATAGTTATAATAGTATGAACCACTTCCTGGGGGCTGTTTGATAGCTATGTGTTTGCCGTCTACGGCTCCTAAGCAATTTTCAAATTGCCACATATTGTTAAATCCTTCTGCTACTTTGAGCCATTCCTCTTCTTTTGATGGAAACTGAAACCAAAAATAACACAGCTATCATATGAGGCAAAGTTAACTGTGAGCTAGTTTATTGCAGGAAACCGATGCATACACACAACATTCTGATCAAGATTTAGATTCATCATCAGTTTTATCGCCTGAAGCTCCTCAAAGTGCAACACCAAGTTCCCGTAACAAGCGAACTCTCAACTGCACAACTTGGACACAGAAGAAAAATAAATTTTTGGATGCTTCCATAAAAGTATTGGAAACTCCGCAACAGGATGTTCTTGAACCACAAGAAATAACATTTGGCAAAAATACTGGTCAACAATTACAGGATATTGCAGTTGGACAGAAGATAATAGCCCAAAAACTGATTTCGGATGTGCTATACCATGCAAAATTGGGAAATCTCACACATTCTTCTCATATTTCCCTGGGTTACCAATCACCATCATATCAAAGTGCCCCATGCGTTCCGCAAGCACAAATATTTCAAAACTCATGCTCCAGGTATACAACATCCATTAACCCATGAACCCAGCACGTCATATACACGTCAACCACATGTACCAACTTTTACCACTTTGACAACTCCAAATCAGGCGTCTGCAAATAGGGAAGTGATGGAAGAATTTTTAGTTTTTCCCAGGCAAATAATTAAGAAGTGATAAGGTACTACGAGTATTACAGACTGATTCACATATCTTTAATTGTTAGACATAATTTGAAATAATAAAAGTTTTTTCAACACTCTGTTTCTTATATGCATCAGAATACATGAAAAAAATAATTATTGCACTTACACATAAGTATTTCTTCCGGAGGCAGTTGTATATAGCACCACACGTTTCTGGAATTATTCTTCCAAGTAACTGAGGAGAAATTATACAAGAAAACTTTAAGTCTTCATAACTCCTTCCAGTTGCCAGAATCCTCAAGGTGGCCAACAGACGTTCTTCAACGCTTACTGCTTCTCTGAATAAAGTGTTCTTCTTTTCTATCAGAGGTTTTACTAGCATTAATAATTCTTGGAATGCGTCATAGTCCATTCTGAGCTAATTTATAACATCAAGTGGTTCACATGATTGGATACATTTCAATAATCGCAGATGAGTAAATTGTTCTCTCTTTTGCAGCCATTCTTTCACCCAAACACGTTTTTTCTTTTTTTCTGATTCTAATAATATGATTGTACCTACAGCCAAAGCAACTTTCGCCTTTTTTGATAATATCGGAGACATAATGCTATTGGGTTCGCCACATTCAGTGTACAAATGAGCTCTTTTGCAGGGTTCGTGTAATTTCCGTCCAATGTATTGACAAACGTGGATGAGTCGTCAGTCGGGTCCCGGTTGCCGTCCGAGTTCAGGTCCGTCTAGTGAATGGCCCGCATTAGATACCATATATTGGCGGATCGGTCGGCGGACAAGTCAGGACGAACCAATCCGTCACACCAATCCACTAATGAATGGGGGGCTTTAAATCTATAAAAACACAACTACGACTACGACCACGACGACGACCACAATCACGACCGCGGCCACGACCGCGACCACGAACACAGCCGCGACCAAAACTCCGACCACGACCACATCTACGACCACGACCACGACCACATCTACGACCGCGACCACGACCGCGACAACACCGCGACCGCACCGCGACCACGACCGCGACCACGACTACGACTACCACTAGAGCATGAAAATACTCTCTATTTCATATTGTTTTTTGTACTCTAAAATAGCGGATCGCACTTTTAAAAAATTCAAAAGCTTATATCTTGCAAAATGTGAGCGTAAACGAATCGGTTTTGCTTAGGATGACCTAATAACCTACAACTACTTTTGCATAACTCGTCACATATTTCGAACATCTTTACGTAACGAAACAAAAATTTCTGTAAATACACTCTGCAACACGAAAATCCTCCCTATAGAAATAATATTATATTATACTACATATTCGGGGAAAAAGTTGGTGGGTTATTGACAACCTTTAAATGGTACTATTCTTGTTTGTGCCCTGCTATTATTTTCTGTACATGGAAAGATAAACGACTACCCTGGCCCCCTTTACATCACGTCACGTTTGGGGATTGGGGTATGCTGATCCGATTACTATCATAAATTTAACATTGCCCAAACGTTATTTTTTGATATAGGTTTCAGCTTCCACGAAAACCGTTCACCTTTCTTGGTGCCATAAAATACTGAGACAGCTATATGGACCCTATAATCCTCGTAACTTTATTCAGAAGGGCATCTCTACGAGTGCGTTATAAGCAGTAGGCATATGCAGGTTTTTCAACAACAATATATTGATTATGCTCGATATGTTTGTATTAATTGTTGAGAACGAAACTATTATATTAATCCTCCAATTCCCAAGGTCGCCTAGAGGGGACAAATTCTCAACATTTTCTTTTAATTGCGTGTTGAGTTAAGGTCGATCGTTCTCATCACCGAGATGAACGGGAACATCAATTCGCGGAGAAAAATGGTGCCAGGTAGATTGACTGTGTTCCTCCTCTCACAACGAAGTTCATAAAGGATTATGATTAGCACAAGTTAGACCCTATCGAAGCGCCATAGAAAAGCACGAAACTGTCTGTGGTTGGTTGTATTTGGTTAGACGGACAAAACCAGCATGTTTAAGTTTGACCCTCTAAGAAAACAGTGAGCTACGGAAATGTATAACAAAAAAATTAAACGAATCAAGTCGGTACGGTCCTTAACATTCTCACCCTGAACTAACCATCGAACCGTCTAGTAACGTCGCGTCGCCTCATTGCGTAGTCTTACAGTGTACTGGCAGAGCGCCTAGAAAGCATCGAAAACACTTTTCTGTCGTATTAATATACTAACAAAACATTGAGGTAATGAAATTAATGCGTGGATACCATATTTTAGAGCAAAATTGACAGATGAAAATGTCAAGATGGCCATCTTGAAACAAAATATATGAAAACGGGGGTCTTGTGGGACATCATTTTAACAATTACTTGAACACAAACCCACTAACATGCATATCTCTACAAATAACTGTAATTTCCTGCCGTATCCACAGCAACAGCGATAAAAACTTGTTTTGTTATTTTTTGTTGACAGTGACAAGAATATCAGTACGAAAATCATTGTACAGTTAAAATATTATTTAGTTTTCGGTTTTAATACTAGAGACTGTTTGGACTATTTTTAAAATGGTCAATTCTCGTCCATTGGAAGAAAAAATCGAAGCGATTTTAATTTATGGTACGACGTAACTTTCACGAGACCGAAAAGATTTTTAATGATCGTTTCCCGAATCGTCCTATCTGTAGAAAATGTTTAAGGGAACTTGTATCTAAACTTACAGCTACTGGTAGTGCGACAACAAAAAGCCCCAGGTCATCCGACCATCCCGAAAGAAAATAATAAATAATTCAAATAATTGGTGAGATCATAGTAAATCCCCAACAGTATTCTTCCACCATCGGGAATGTATGTGAGGTTTGTCCTTCTACTGTATGGAGACTTTTGAAAAAGAATAAGTATCATCCATACAAAATTGAAATGGTACATCGGCTAACTGAAGATGAACCTGATCGAAGAACAGAATTCTGTGAGACTATGACGGAAACCATTGCACGGCATCCTACCTATATCCAAAATATTTGTTTTAGTGATGAATGTAAATTTTTTCTCAACGGTAATGTGCACAGACAAAATTGTCGTTAGTGGCGTGACTCCAATCCTCACGTCTTCTGGAAAACTCATACTCAATCTCCACCAAAAAATTTACGTTTGGGCTGGGATATTGGGAAATCATATTGTGGGGCCTCCATTCATCGAACAAACTTTAACCGGGAAACTGTATTTGGATATGCTGGAAAATACTATTGACCTTCTAATCACCGAAATCGTCGAAGCGAATCCTAATGGATTCGATACTGATAATGTATTCCAGCAAAATGGTGCTCCACCACACTACTCCAGACAAGTTAGGAATTATTTAGATAACAATCTCCCCGGTCGTTGAATTGGCCGTCGAGGTCCAGTGGAATGACCAGCTCGCTCGAAAGATTTGACACCTTTAGACTTTTTTATGGGCTTATTTGAAGCAAAAGGTGTACGAAGCTGAACCTGCTTCAATATTGGATATACGGCTGAAAATAACAAATATTTGTAGAAACATCGATGTTTGAAACTGTTCGACGCGAAATTACGTACCGGCTGTTATTGTGTCAAGAAGTTCAAGGCAACCATTTCTAGCATCTTCTAAACTGAACTCAACGTATTTATTCGAATTATCAAGTTAAATGTCAATGTATTCAGGTAATTATTAAATGTACCACCATTCTGTAGTAGGTAAAGGTATTGACTCTATATTCTAGAATTATACTAAGTGACATATAAATCCGAACACCCAGTTTAAATGGTTTTATTTTAATAAAATTTTGTATAAGTACTTAATGAAGCATAATAAGTAAATGATAAAAATTTCAAAATGATTGCACTGCTTTAAAGCCCTTGGACCTTTAATAATGTGTGGATGCACCCTGATGTGCTACGCATTCTCCAACGCGCCTAGGCATGCTTCTGTGGTATCCCATTCCAGGCAACCACCAACTCCTCTCGAAGTGCTTCTAGAGTCTGAGGAGGACGTTGCAAATTGAGCAATCTCCTACCCATCATATCCCACACGTGCTCAATTGGGGATAAGTCGGGAGAGAAAGAAGTCTTTCAACAAAAAACTGTGGATTCCTCCTTTCACCACGTCACCTTCTAACCCTGGCACGACCATCGTGCATGCCTAAACAAAATCGAGACTCGTCAAGGCGATTACGTCGGTGTTCTCGAGTTAAAGGGAGGACCCAGTGTGGCCGGTATGAAAACAAGCCAAAACTTCTCATTCGTCGGTAAATACTTCGCATGCCAATAGGTCTTCCGTGTTCTGCAAACCATTCATTTGCAATGGACCTGGTAGTGGAGAAACGGTCCCTTAAGGCCAATAATCTTAGGCGGCGATCTTCACGGTATGTTGTTCTACGGCGGCGTCCAGTGCCCCTTGCTCTTTGCGTACGGCCTTCTCGAAGCCATGCCTGACAACACCTAACCACAGTGTCTACACTTCTTTGCACTCTAACTGCAATTGCCCGAAAAGAAAGTCCAGCTTCCCGAAGTCCCACTATACGGCCACTATGAAACTCACTAAGTTGACGAAATCGTACAGGTCTTCGTACTCTAGGCATCGTAACCGATCGTAAAGGATGTCAAGAACCAAAATCCGCCAACGTTGATTCTTTACTGCGGCTGAAATATTCATTTTTAGAGCGTTAGTGAATTAAAAAAAGCATTATAAAAACCGGAATGTCCAACTGATAAGGCTGAAAATTTGTTCACTTGTTATTTACAGTAAGATAAATACATTCACCAACTTTTATTAAAATAAAACCATTTAAACTGGGTGTTCGGATTTATATGTCACTTAGTATATAAAGTACTCGTCAAGAGCTTCAAACTGATGTGCCACTAGACCCCCGTTTTCATATAATTTTTTTTCCAAGATGGCGCCCAGCGACCATCTTGACATTTTCATCTGTTAGTTTTACTCCAAAAGATGGTATCAACGCGTCAATTTCATTGCCTCAAGTTTTAATTTTTTGAATTGATCCGTCCAAAACATTAAAGGGGAGGGGACATTAAAGAAAAGCACTGTATAATATCCAAAAAAACATCAGATCTCATTTTTATTACAATACTTCCTCGTCAGTAGGCGTGGGAAATAAAAATTAATATAACCTTCTCAGACTAGTAGAAACATGAACGCGGTTTGAAGTTGTTCTCCTGACGGTACTTTTTTGAGACTGGCTTTTATTTTTGCTTACCATGGAAACGAAAAAGTAGATTTCGTATTATCCACATTACGATTCGTTTTCTGAATGTTTTTGTTTAAATGATGAAATTTTTAAATGTTCTAGAGAGTCATTGTACTTGTTTTCCAAGTTTGGTATGTCAGATCATCTCCAGGGGACCTTGGGCACGGAGAGCACTAAACACTGATGTAGTTATTTTTAACGTCCAAAGTCGACCTTTTTCTTGGTCTAACTGACGTGATCTATATATACTACAGTGTAACTGATTCGAGCAGAGGGAAAGATGGAAATTATAAATGAATATATCGCCCTACTGGTAGAACCGCCGTTGGTTGTAAATTATCATGTGCAGATCGTAGTGACAGACCAAAGATGAATGGACTACGCAACCATTGTTTATTGCGACCAGGCACAAATCGCATTAAATATACTGAGTGACAGAAAAATGTAAGTAGCTACGTATGTTTATCCGATTTTAATAATTTTTGGCATATATTCGTATGTTCAGTGTCCCTTACTATATATATAGTGTCCCTTACTATATATATATAT